TCCAGAACCGACAGGAGCTGCACGGCTGGGGAGCGAGCTCTGCCTGCTGCTGCCTGCGGCTAATTGCAGCTCCCAGCTGCCTGCTGGTGTTTGCCCCTCTTCCAGCTGTAGCTGCACACAGGTTCAGGCAGCATGTCAGGTTACTGTGCCAGTAATGCCTTGTCTGAGCTCTCCAAACCGAGCAGGGACCTGCCTTGGCTGCTCGTGTCCCTCCAGGTGACCGGTCAGGAGGCTGTGGCGGTGCTGGGGGAAGCTGGAGGCTCAGGCTTTGCACCACAACGGTAACAGGCAGGTCCCCAGGGTAATCGCTGCAGGTCCCAGGGCTGGTGGGAGAGCCGGTGTGAATAGCTCTCCTTTGTCTCTAGCCTTAGGAGGTAGGGACGTGGTTATAGGCACGCTGAACCCTGCAGGCATCCTGTGAATACTCCCCCAGGTCGTCTTTGTTGTCTCTCTGTCCCCATGCTGCCAGGGCAGCACCTGGGGAGGTGGGGAAGGAGCGGTAGCTCAGCTCAAGTAGGTTTGCTCCCATCATCCCACCTTTCCTTCCAGGAAAACTGTGCCATGTCCCTCCCGGTCTGTCCCGCAGCCATGGGCACAAAGGCTGCTGCTGTGGCACGTGGCACCGCAGGGCTGCAGGGGCTGCGCTGCTGCCCCGGGACAGAACGGCACCTCCCGGAGCAACCATCTCCCACCAGAGCAAACCTTCTCCCAGGTGTGCTGCCATCCGTGGGGTGAGGAGGAGGGAGGCCATGCAGGGGCTGGTCTTGTCCCACCTCAACCCTCCTAACGCCAGCAGCCCAAAATAAAGAGGCCATGTGGCTGGATGGGACATTGCGAGATTTCAACTCCTTCCCTTTCCAGGGATGAAGTTTCATGCAAAGGGGAATGGAAGAACACTAAGTTCAGAATCTTATCTCTGCTTTTATTTTTAGACAGGCATTCATGAGGAAGAAATGACGTACTTTGGGACAGCCTGTAGTGCAAGAGAGTAATTAGAGACAATATTCTTACCTCCAGTATCACTCTCTCCTCAGCGAATAGGCTGTTCCCAAGGCAGGATTATGTTTGTCTGCCATAATTAAGCCCAATTTTTTTGTTGTTGCTTTTGGCTTAGAGTAATTTATCATGCATGGTAGAAAAATATGAATAATTTATTTGTGAGTTAAAATTTAATTATAGCTTTGTATTTGGCAAAGTGGGGGCAAAGCAGTGGCATGATCTCTCCTTGGCATTTAGGGTGGATCTGAAGAAGGCAATTAAAATCCAAGTGAAAGTGGAAGGTTGCAGCCATAGTTTCTGTGGGAGGACTTCCATCAGGATTGTGTCACTCAAGCGCAGTCATGTTGTTGAAAGCCTGTCAGGCAACAAAAGCCTGCACTTCCCAGGTACCAAGGGCAACCGCTCTGCCCCATGAGAGACAGAGTGAGGGCTGCATACCAGATCCTACACGTTTGTTTTTTTCAGGTCTGTTCCAGTTGGGACTCT